CGCCCCGGGCGGTTCCCCCAGTCCCCGCCCCGCGGTTCCCCCAGTCGCGCCCCCTTAGCTTGGCTTAGCTTATCTCGTCTTAGCTTAGCTTGGCTTAGCTTAGCTTAGCTTAGCTTGGCTTACCTTAGCTTAGCTTAGCCTAGCTTAGCTTAGCCTAATGTAGCTTAGCTTAGCGTAGCATAGCATAGCATGGCATAGCATAGCACAGCATAGCATAACATAGCACAGTATTGCATAGCATAACTTAGCATAGCTTAGCATAGCGCCCCCTTTAGCTCAGCTTTAGCCTAGCTGTAGCTTAGCTTTACCTTAGCTTCAGCTTAGCTTTAGCTTAGCTGTACCTTAGCATTAGCTTAGATTTAGCTTAGCTTTGGCTTAGATGTAGCTTAGATTTAGCTTAGATTTCGCTTAGCTGTGTATTAGCTTCATCTTAGATTTAGCTTAGCTTTAGGTTAGCTTTAGCTTAGCTTTAGCTTAGCTTTAGCTTAGCTTCAGCTTAGCTTTAGCTAGCCTAGCTGTAGCTTAGTTTTAGCTTAACTGTAGTTTAGCTTTAGCTTAGCTTCAGCTTAGCTTTAGCTTAGTTTTAGTTTAGATTTAGCTTAGCTTTAGCTTAGCTTTAGCTTAGCTTTAGCTTAGCTTTAGCTTAGCTTGACTGTTACTACTAATGCTGCTTTCCTAGGGGCTCCAACTCCTAGGTAGGGTCGCACTGGGATAATTGCACCAGATAGACCCTTGCAGGGGTCCCGGGGTTTATTTTGAACGGATTTGGCATTGTTCCCTACCTAGGCTCTGCCTAGAAGGGTTCTTACTCTCTAGCTTAAAGGGGCCGGGCAGTGGAAAGCGCCCCGGGCGGTTCCCCCAGTCCCCTGGGAGCGGTTCCCCCCAGTCCCCTGGGAGCTTTAGCTTTAGCTTTAGCTTTAGCTTTAGCTTTAGCTTTAGCTTTAGTTTAGCTTTAGCTTAGCTGTAGCTTAGCTTTAACTTAGCGTTTCGCTTAGCGTTTCGCTTAGCGTTTAGCTTAGCTTTAGCTTAGCTTTAGCTTAGCTTGAGCTTAGCAGTAGCTTAGCAGTAGCTTAGATGTAGCTTAGTTTTAGCTTAGCTTTAGCTTAGCTTTAGCTTAGATTTAGCTTAGCTTTAGCTTAGCTGTAGTTTAGCTTTAGCTTAGCTGCTGCTCAGCTTTAGTTTAGATTTAGCTTAGCTTTAGCTTAGCTTTAGCTTAGCTTTAGCTTAGCTTTAGCTTAGCTTTATCTTAGCTTTAGCTTAGCTTTAGCTTAGCTGTGGCTTAGCTTTAGCTTAGCTTTAGCTTAGCTTTAGCTTAGCTTTAGCTTAGCTTTAGCTTAGCGTTACTGTTACTACTAATGCTGCTTTCCTAGGGGTTCCAACTCCTAGGTAGGGTCGCACTGGGATAATCTCCGCTTCTTGGCAGATTTTCTCGAGGATCATCCAGTTCAACCCCCCCAGCCGCCTCCAAAATCCAAGCATGCGTGAACATGGTGCCTTCTCTCGGAAGCCAGCGGTTTCGTTACCGCGCGGGCTGTCGTGCAACGCTGCGCGCAGCAATCTCCTGCGCGCTTGGCACAGGGATTCGCTGTATGCTCCGCTTTCTTTTGGCGTGACAGTTATGGCACCACGGCAGCGAGGAGGAACAACTTCACTACACAGCACACGCCGCCACAACGCGAGAACGATTGGCTCAAAGCCTCCCCCATGACAAACGCAAGTGAACAACTGCACCGCATCAGGCTCGTCGCCGCGTGGGAATGACTAGGTTTCCGAAGATCCCACCACGGCACCACACCGGCGGCGCCCACAGGGGTCTGGCGCAGGCGGGGGGGGGGTCAGAACGCAGGAACCTTTTTGAATTGGCCCAGAAGGTTTTAAGAAGGCGCCAGAAAGGCGGAGAGGGTGTCTAAGCATCACCTTGTTTTCTTAGTCCCTCCCCCCCGCCTTCTCATAATGTCGCCCCCCTCGCGCCAGCCCCACGTTGCACGCCGCACGCAATAGACGCACGGTCGCACCAGGTTGAACTGGCTTCCGCCGTGGGTAACGTCTGGCACACAGTCCTCCCACGAATGAAGATTCACAGCATCGCGCTGTGCTTGCAGCCGCCGTGCGTGGACGTACTGGAAAAAGTTCCCCGCCAAACAAAAAGAGCATACCACACAATAAACAGTGGCGGTAGTTGGAGAACAAACCGTTGGCCAGAATACGAAGCACGATTCCTTGCAAGCGTCATGATAAATTGTTGACGCTTCGCGAATCCCCACCAGCGCCGATGACACGGCCCTGGCCCTTGGCGCCCTCTGGCGACATGACCAGTGTGTACCTTGCCTTTCCCCACTGCAGTGTCTGGGAGGATTGTACGTGCAGGCGACTCTCTGCCGGCCCGACAAGCACCTTCACCGTGGTGGACCGGCGCCGCGGCGCGTAACACAGAATTCCCTGGCATTTTGCCGTAGTGCTGCACGATGCTCGAGCTTCCCTGGGCGTTGCATTTCAGCCAGCCAGCCCCCCGCCGCCGCTGCCGCAGCTGCTGCCACTGGGAGCTGGCCCGGCCAGCCCGCGCTGCGCCCAGCAGCTGATTAGGTTTGCCCGTCGGCCCGGACACTCTGTTCGCCGCCTGCGCTCTTCGCTCGCGGCCGCGACCAAAAAAAAAATCCCCACCAGCCCATCCAGAAACGATGCCCAGAGGAATTGCCTCGATCAGGGAAGTGGGCAGCAAACAGAGGAAGCCATTATGAGACATCTTGGGATATCTTGAGCCATCTTGGAGGTCATCTTGGGCTCCCCCAAGCGCTCCTGGAGTCATCTTAATCCGTGCCCCCCCCAAGAGGCCAACATGTGGCTAAAACCTTCGTAGAATCAATGACTTGGTATTCTCGCCGAGGCCTCTTGGAGCATCTTGGGTGCCTCTGGAGGGTCTCTTGGCCGTTTTGGACGCTCCGACGACTCGCGGAACCCCCTGTCCAGGTCCAGGGGAGTGGGTAGGGGGAGGGGTAAACCCCGCCCCGAAGGGGAAAAAGGAAGGGTGGAAGAGGAAACTCTCTAAACCACCTACGCCCAGAGGGCTGGTGGGATTTGTGGTCGAATGCGACGTGCAGCACGAGCTCGGCAACAGCTGCTCGGAGCTACTCCCGCGCCTCGCCACGGCGCACCCCGCTGCCGCTCTCCTCTGGCGCGCGGCGGTGTCCGCGGGCACCCGGGGCCGAGCCCCGCTGAACGCACCCACGTCGAGCGTCGGCCCGCAGCGAACGAGCGCACGCGGCGGGGCAGAGGCGTCTCAGTCTCGCCCCGCAGGCGCTTCCGCACGGCCGCGCGGCCGGCGTCCAGGCGGCCCGGTGGCGGTCGCGCCTCTGCCCTCGCAGCGCGCGGCCCCAGCCCGCCTGGCGCGCGATTGCGCCCCGCTTCGCGTGTTCCTCCCATCGTCGTTTGGCCGCTCCTGCCGCCGTGCCTGAGTTGTGGGCTTGCGGCGTCTGGGGTGCCTCCCGGGTGCCTCTTGCGATGCCTCTCGGGGGCTCCTTGGGTGGTCTCTTGTGGCCCCTTCGGGGGTCCTGTCCTTTGGAGGTTTCCTGGGGGCCTCTCGAGCACTTCTGGAGGGCTCTTGGAGGCATGCTGTGGGTCTCGGAGGCAATCTGCGGCGCAGAGGCTCCCAAGTTCAGTTCGAGGTTCCCCTCTTTGGGCCACTCTCGGAGCCCTTTGGCAGGCTTCTTGGGCCATATTGCGGGCATGGCGCTTATTGGGGCCGTCGTGTGACCCAGTTGGGAGCCTCTTGAGCCGTATTGGGTCGTCTTGGAGCGCTGGAATCCCGTAAAGGCGAGAACGCTAAAGTGCGTCGCAATTTGTGGAGCATCAATGATGGTGGCTTCTTGGGGTCGAGGGTCCTCTTAGGGCACTCTTGGGCCGTCTCGGGTGCTTTGCGTCCCTGTGCGGTTGCGCGGCGCAGACTTCTTCTGAGCCGAGGTAGCTTTTGAGTTGGGGGGGTGACGAAGACAATGACGAGGACGATGTGCGACCACTTGCGAACCTTGCCATTGCGGGCCCAACCGACGCTGGGGCATCGGACACCCTTGTAGGGGCTCACTTGGCTGCAGACATCCATCAAATCTAAGCCACCGCCAGTGCTACAAAGATCTGACTCGCAGGGGTATGGCTCACACTTAGCTGCCTAGACGAGCCCTCGCAACGGCCCTATGCTGCGCCCCCGCAAGCCCACTGCGCCTGATTACCACCAGCGCCGCATAACGCCACTAACCCCTGTCGGGAGATGGAAGGTCTACACCACCATCATGCCTCTAAAAGCCAAGTGTGGGCCAGATTTTTGTGCTGATCAGGACACAGCAAGGCCGAGAAGCCGTATGCAACAAGATCGGGAGCAAAGTTGGTGTGTGGACATTTGGTGGTGGTGTGTAGTGTCCTTCTCCCTGCCTGAGCGGCTCCCGCATAGACCCACTAGCCCCACCAACCCCACTAGCCCTAGCTGTCGAAAAGGTTGGCGGCTGTTGCCGAGCCCCGTACCAGCCCGCGCGCAGACCCGAGCCCTGGCCCTTGCCGCCACTTGCTCCAATGGCCCTAGTTGTCGCCAACGCCAGCTGCAGCCACTGGCCCCAGGTTACCGCTGACGTTGGTTGCTGGTACTTTCCCCCCGGCTAGCCTTCGCCTAGGCCCGCGAGCCTTAGTTGTTGCCAGCGCTGGCTGTCACCGAAGGAGGCACCAGAAGGCCACAGCAAGCCACAGGAGGCACCTCTAACCCCCACTCGTCACGCTTGCCGCTGACGCAGCTCGCCCTCGCTGGCCCCTGCCTGGGCCCATAAGCCCCAGTCCCTGCTCGGCCCCAGTAGCCAGTAGTGCCATTGCACTGGCCACGACTGTCGCCAGCGACAGCTTCCGCCACCTGCTTCCTAACAGTCAGCGCCTTGGACCTGCAGCTCTGTCTTCTGAATACACCGGCTGCTGCCCGCGGGCCCCACCAGCCCCAGCCCTTGCCTCGCCACATAGTTGCTCAAATTTCCCATCGGGGCCCGTTGCGGCCGTTGGCCCTCCACGAGCCTCTTGCACAGCTCCAAGACCACATCGGCCTCTACCTGGCCCCACCGGCGCTGGTGGTCGCCAGCGCCGGCTGTTGCCCTGCCAGCTTCTGGCTAGCCCCTATCCTCTCAGGTTGCCGTCACTGCTGGTTGCCACCGCTATTCCGTTGTCGCCGATTCCGGTATCCACCAGGAGCCCCCGCTTGCCAATGGCTGGCCTCACAAACATTGGTTGCCGCCAGATCTGGTTGCTGCCGCCAGGCCCGTCAGACTCTCCCTGGAGTCCACGCGCAGGTATCGTGCTCAGTGTGTGCGTGTGCGTGTTGGCAACACGTTCTTGCACGTGTGCGCACGTTCGTAACCATGATGGCTGGCGATTCCCCGATATTTCCCAGTCCAGTCTTCCCCCCTCCCTCTCCCACCCCTCACTCGGGGCCGAGGAAGAGGGGTGAGAAGATGGGGCCGATATTACACGACCGGGGCCATGCAGTTCTCTCAGATGCCATGGCCCCCTCCTTTCTCTTCCAGCAAATCTCCTGCACCCCCCTTCGCCCGCACATGCCTCTGGCCATGGTGCGCTAACCCCCCTCTTGCTGGCCCTCCTCTCTCGCGGACCCGACTCACCTCCGTCGGCGGCGAAGAGCTAAGGACACCAATCAGAGCGACACGATCTCGTTCCTGGAGTTCGCGCGAGCCTTCCAGAAGCCTCCAGGGGACGGGGAGCGCCCTGCCGCGAAGAAATGCAAGAGACAACACCAGAGTACTCACAGCTCTGCTCCACTGTCGTGAGCACAGCCACAGTGTGCCGCGAGCGGCCAGCCGTGCCGGTCAGGGCTGGGGCGGGGACGGCGCAGGGCAGGCCCCGCCCGAGCCAGCGCGCAGGCAGGCGCAGCAGAGGGCGCCGCGCACTCTCGCCAAGAAGGAGCAGTCCAGCGGGAAAAGCGGGTCCTGGGCCCCCCCGGGGGCCTGCCCCGGGGGGCCCAGTTCCTCCTCCCGGGTCGTCTCGTGACGGCCCCAGGGCCCGTGGAGGGCCCGGGGGGGGGGGGGGGGGCTCGAAAACGGCGAGCGGAGTTCCAGGAGCCCTTCTTCCCTCCCTCTTTTTTTTTTTTATGTTTCTCTCCCAGGGCCCTGTTCTTTTTTTCTCTCTTGTCTCCGGGACCCCATTGTGCTTCCGGGGCCCGCTCCTCTCGTGCCGGTGATGTGCAGGAGCGTTGGGTGCGGTCAAGGGCCAAGTGCCGGCGCAGTGGCAGCGTGTGGGCGCGGAGGGCAGCGGGTTGGCAGCGGGAGGGTTGGGGGACGCAGCAGCAGCAGGCGGAGGGGGAGGAGGAGCAGGAGGAGGAGGAGGAGGAGGAGGAGGAGGAGGAGGAGCAGCAGCAGCAGAGAAAGCAGAAGGAGGGCGAGGGGGAGAAGGAGAGGCAAGAGAGGACGATGGACAGAGGGAGCGCGGGGGGGAAGGAAGAGGGGCAGGAGGGGGAGAGGAGGATTCTAAAGGGTTTCAGACATGGCCACGATGAGGCATCCAGGTAGGGGGAAGCCCAGAGGGAGGTGGAGGAAGAGGAGGAGGAGGAGGAGGAGGAGGAGGAGGAGGAGGAGGAGGAGCAGAAGCAGGAACAGGAACAGGAGGCAGTAAGTAGGCAGGGGGAGAAGGAGGATGATGATGAGGAGGTGGAGGAGCAGAGGAGGAGGAGGAGGAGGAGGAGGAGGAGGTGGAGGAGGAGGAGGAGGAGGAGGAGGGAGGAGGGAGGAGAGAGGAGGAGGAGGAGGAGGAGGAGACATTAGGAGGAAGGAAGGAGGAGGAAGGAGGAGGAGGAGGAAGGAGGACAGGACGAGGGAGGAGGGAGGAGGGAGTAGGGAGGAGGAGGAGTAGGAGGAGGAGGAGGAGAGGGAGGAAGAGGAGGAGACATCAGGAGAAAGGAAGTAGGAGGAAGGAGGAGGACGGGGAGGAGGAAGGTGTGGCTGAGGAGGAGGAGGAGGAGGAGGAGGAGGAGGAGGACAAGGAGGAGGGGGAGGAGGAGGAGGAGGAGGAGGAGGAGGAGGAGGAGGAGGGGAAGGAGGACGAGGAGGAGGGGAAGGAGGAGGAGGAGGAGGAGGAGGAGCTATCAAACAGGCCGCTGCCGCAGATGTCAGACGATATGATTGCGTTGATCACTACATATTTCTTTGATTTCGGCCTCTGGGGCCGTTTTCGGGGCAGGAGAGAATTAGCAATGGATCCAGGACAAAGAACTACCCCTGGAGCCGAGTATTGAAAAAGCCGTCTCGGCGGATGTCAGGGCACACATGCCGCTGATGTCGTATCGCGCGCAGCGACTGGCAGGCCGCGTGCCAAAGACCCTTCCAGCCAAGGGTCGAGATAGTTTGCTTCGCGCGTCACTCCGCCCATTCTGGCCCACCACGACTCGGCGTGACACGCCGAGCACGCCGAGCTCTTCCCAGCCTCCCCCCCCTTGCGGAGCGGAGCGGCACGCCGTCAGCTCGCGGGGCATGGCGCGTCGATGGGGCCGCCGCCTCGGCACGCCAAGCAGAGGTTCCCGACCGGGGGGCCTCCGAGGGGGTGGACACTTGGGGGCGGCAGCCGCCGCAGCCTTGGGGAACGAGTTCGGGGAGAGGGGCAGGGGGCCGGGGGCCCGCGTCCTGTCCAGGGACGCCGCCCGTCCGTGCGCGCGGCCGTCGCCGGGAGGCGCGCGGGAGAAGCGGAGCGGCGCGCGGGGCGGCGCCAGGCGGCAGCCGACGGGCGCGGCGGGAACGAGGCGCGCGGAGGACCGCGAGGCCCCATTGGGGCGAGGTGCTGCGGGTGCCCGGGCGGAGGGAGAGCAGACCTTCAGGATGAAGGGCGGCCAGGAGGGGGGGGGCATCATGGCTGGGGCCATGATATCTCCACTGATCTCGTGGCCCAAATTCGTCTTTCAGTGTGTCCCTTGGCCCCTCTGGGGCCGAGCACATGCCTCGGGCCATGGTTTGCGAAACCCCCTTGCTGGACGCCCCCGACGGGAGGAGGCAGCCCTCGGCGGCAGGTTCGAGCTTCGAGGATCGATGTCTTTGGGATGTGTTCCGCCTTGTCTCGGCCTCTGGGGGGCTTCTTGTCGCCACGGCTGTGGCCACCTCGGAAGTCTTCTCCAGCCGCACCCCGGCACAGATCCAGGGGCCGGCTTTTCAACCCCCACACCCGCCCCCCTCGCGTTGTGAAAAGGTCACGACGGTAGGCTTTTGGAAGTGTTTGGCCTTTGGGAGCCCCTGTTGGGCCCCAGGGCTGTCAATTACCCCAGTGCGACCCTACCTAGAAGTTGGAGCCCCTAGGAAATCAGCATTAGTTGCTATGCAATGCCATGCTATGCTGCGCTATGATATGCTATGCTATGCTATGCTATGCTGCGCTATGCTATGCGATGCTATGCTAAGCTATGCAATGCCATGGTGTGCTATGCTATGCTGTGCTATGTTATGCTATGCTATGTTGCGCTATGCTATGATATGCTGGGCTATGCTATGATATGCTGTGCTGCGCTATGCTATGCTACGTTATGCTATGTTATGATGTGCTCTGCTATGATAAGCACTCAGCGAAGCTAGGATGAAGGTAAGCTAAGCTAAGATAAACCTGAGCTAAGATGAAGCTAAGCTAAGCTAAGATGAGATAAGCTAAGCTAAGATGAGATACGCAACGCTAAGCTAAGGGGACGTAACTGGGGGAACCGCGAGGCGGATCCTGGGGGAACCGCCCGGGGCGACTTGCACTGCCCGGCCCTTTAAGCACAGAGAGTAAGAACCCTTCTAGGCAGAGCCTAGGTAGGGAAATAAGCTAAGCTAAGATGAGATCAGCAACGCTAAGCTAAGGGGACGTAACTAGGGGAACCGCGGGGCGGATGCCGGGGGAACCGCTCAGGGCGATTAGCACTGCCCGGCCCTTTAAGCACACGGGGTACGAACCCTTCTAGGCAGAGCCTAGGTAGGGAACAAAAGTAGCTCGGACGAGAAGCCAGTCTTGCGGGATGGGTTTAGACTTCTGGGGCCCATGTTGTGGAAAAATGCGATGCGTGAGGTTAGGGGAGGAGGAGGAGGAGGAGGAGGAGCAGCAGCAGCAGCAGGACCAGTGTAAACCCAAGACCCATCACCGATACTGCAATAAACCCTCCCTCCAAGGTCCCCCTTCACGTGTCTCTACAAGGATTCATTTTTACTGAGGGAAGTGTTCCGTTGGAAGACAACCGATTGAAACTTTGGAATTGCGCCAGAACATCATTCCTGGGGCTTCAACTCCGCGAATCACCGTTATCGTTGAGTCTTGACGATCCCGACTCGTGCCAGAACGCCACTCCTGTGACTTCAGCACTGCGAATCAACGTGGGAGTTGCGCCCTGACATCCCGATACCGTGCCCAAACACCCTTTCTCGTATGTTAACCATGAGTACCTTTCAAACTGCTGCACATTCTTACCACGAATTTGCGCGGCGCTGAGGCGAGAGCCAAATTCCGAAAGGCAGCCGCCCTCCATCCGTGAAGCTCTTGCAGTATCTGTAACGTGTGCGCGGCGCTGAAGCGAGAGCCACATTTTGAAAACGAGCCGCCCTCGATCCGTGAAACTCGTGCAACTATTGAAAACGAATGCGCGCGGCCCTGAGGCGAGAGCTACATTTTGCAAACCGACCGCCCTCCATCTGTGAAGCTGTTGCAAGTGTGTAAGACGAATGTGCGCGGAGCTAAGGCGAGAGCCACAATTTGAAAGCGGCCCGCCCTCCATTCGTGAAGCTGCTGCAAAATCTCTAATATTCCAGATTATAAATGGTGAGGGATTCTCAGGCGAAGCGCCCGGCCCGCCCTTTCGAACGGCCTGCGACAGGGAGGAGTTATTTCCTCCAGCTGCCTACGGCAAGTCCCGCCACCGTGCCTGTGGGTATTAAGCCTATTGGATGTTCGTTGGGATCTCGTGGGAGGCCTCTGGGGGCCTCTTGGGGTGTCGTTTTGGGGCCTCTTGGGGCCTTTGGGGGGCCATTTGGGGCCACTCGGGCGCCTGTTGGGGCTTCCTGGGGGCCTCTTGGGGCGGAAGGCTCAGATGTTTGGTTCGTGTTCCTTCTTTTGGGCCCCTTTCGGGACCGTCTTGGGGCCCTCTTGGGCCGTCTCGGGCGCCTTTGGACCGTCTTGGGGCGCTCTTAGGCCGTCTTGGGCCCCTCTTGGATGCCTCTTGGCTGTTTCGAGGTGGTCTTGGGGGCCTCTTTGGTCGTCTTGGAGCGTCGGAAAGCCGCGCAGGCGAGAACACCAACATCTTCCAATAACCAAAAGGAAATCAATGTTTGTTGCGTCTTGGGAGGCCTGTTGGTGCGTCTTGGAGGCCTCTTGGGCCATCTGGAGGCCATCTGGAGAGTCTTCGAGCGATCGTTCGGCGACTCGGGGCCCTCTTGGACCGCCTTGCGGGCCTCCTGGGCCGTCATGGAAGCCTTGGAGAGCCCCAGGAAGGCGCCATGGCCGCCCAGGGACCCCGCGGGAGTAGGAGTCGTGCAGTCGGTGAAGCGTGACCGGGGAGGTGGAGGGGCCCCTCCGAATATTACAGAAACCCTGCCAGGCAGCCCCTGGCATTCTGCCACACCTCAGCGTGCCGCAGGCACGGTGGCGGATAAGGAAGAGGGATGAAGGAGGAGGAGGAGGAGGAGGAGGAGGAGGAGGAGTGGGAGGGAGAAGGGCCGTCCTGGCTTCGTCTTGCAGTCGAGCGCTTCTGCTGCAGATCACGCCGCACTGGCGCGATGCGGTGTGGCCGTCCGTAGCGTGTAATGTCGGGTCCTTGCTTCGCGTCCTCCCCCGTCTTGATGCAGTGGGTTCGTGCCGTGTCGACCCAGCGACGACCCCAGCGCTGGCGTTGAAGGTTGAACGCCGACAGCCACGGATCGGTCGACATCGAGCGCTCGGTGCGATCGGAAAGCCGCGATTGCTCAAGGTTGGACGATCCAGACGAGCCACGTTGTGACTTGCTTCACCACGCGGTACATGTTTGTTCGGGGATTGGTTTTTATTTCGAGCCGTTTTATTTCAGATCCCCGAGCCTGGTGAGAGCCCCCAGAGGTCGAAAATTGTTCCGTCGTGAATCTGTCACAACGCCAGGATGTCAGGGGATACCCGCGGTGTCGTCGTCGACGCGAACCCGTCGCGCGCGTCGTCACGACACGAACCAACACTGGCGTCGTCGACACGGGCCACCCTGGCCGTTGGATACTGGAGTTCTCCAGTCGCGACCGACGATATCGGTCGCTGCCGACGTATGCATCAAATTTCGGGATCGGCCGCAACCGATTCGGAGTGCCGATCGGTCGCTACCGGCCGCGACCGACAAACTTTCGGGTACGTACTGTATGCGAAGACCTGGGCAACGCTCCGGTGTCGCCGGAGCTCACGCCACGGGGACCGGCGCTGACGGGGGGTCAGCCGATCCCCCCTGGCCGGCCCGGGTCTGGGAGCCACGCGGGGCCGATCCCCCCTTGCCTGCCCTCCGCTGACCCTGGCTCGGGAGCTACTAACTTAGGCGGCCAGGAAGTCTTCGCGGCAGGGCCTTGGTCGACCCGAGTTCGTGCGGACCTGGGCCACCGCGTCCCGGGCAACCTGTCGGCGTCGCCGCTTGCGCGACGCGAGCCCGCCTCGCGCGTCGCTCGCAGAACGCTCTCCTGCGGCGTCCCCCCGCGCGCGCCGCTGCCCGGTGCGGGTCTGGCACCGTGCTCGCACCGGCTGCGAGGCCGGCTTGGCGCGAGGCGGTGCGGCCGTCCACAGCTTCCCTCAGGGGCAACGATAGGGGGGGGGACAGGCTCAGGGGGGGACGCATCGACCCCCTGTCGCCCACTCATCGCCGATAGGGGCCCGAGAATTGGCCCACCCCGCCCAGGAACGTGCGGAATTGCTGTCGGGGGCCTGGCGCCGACCTATCGGCGATGTATGCGTCGGCCTTGAAGTCGGTTGGGGGTCTGAGGCGGCCCAGCACAAGTTCCAGCCAGCAAAAAGGGGGCGCGGGGTTCGCGAGGTTCCCGGTTCGGAGAAAGGGCTTTTTTCGGGCCGCGGGCCCATGAATCATGAGTGTAGAGTGAAAAGCTGCACCAGCTGGACCCCCCTCTGGGGACCGATTTTGAGCGGATTTGGCCTAACCCCCCCCCCCCCTCCTCCTGACCGAGGTCCCAACCAGCTCAGACCCTCGGGCCGCCTCCAGTGTCCTTCGCTTCTCCTGTCGGCCCGTTCCTCCGCACCCTCCCCCGTCCTGCCACGCTCATGCTCGGACGGGCACATGCTCAGCGTGTCGCTCTGCCGGTTCTGGCCCACCACGCTGCGGCGCGACACGCTAGCCACGTTCCAGTCTGCGAGCGTCCACAGCCCGAGCTCCTCCCAGCCTCCCGCCCTGCGAAGTGGAGTGACACGCGATCCGCTTGCACGGCATGGCGTGTCGCTGGGGCCGCCGCCGCGACACGCCAAGCAGCGGTTCCTGACCGTACGATTCCCCTCGCAGTCCTCCTGCACGCGAAGGGCGCTCCCCAAATGTGGATTCTGTGCCTGGGGAGCACGTCGAGCCCATAGCCTTCATCGCCAGTGATGACAAGGCCTGTATCCGACGAGTGGGCAGGAACCATCGTAGGAAGTGGCGCTTCCACTTCCTGCTACACGCCGCCCGCAGCTGCTCCCATGCGCCGCCCTCCGCGCGAGCGCGCGCGGAATACGAATCTGCGCCTTCCCATGCCCAGTTGCCCTGATACGAACGTTTTGAAACGCAACACGTGCTGTCTTAAAAAAAACGTCCATGATACCACGTTGCGTGTTGGCTCGGCACGCTTTGGCGAGCGTAGCCAAACGTACGTGTTCAATCTACGTGCTGAGTTTCGTGTCATAGAGCGCTAAAAAGGCCTTGGCTTCCCAGCATCACGGCGGGATCGGCCTGCGCATCCTCGTGGCAGGGCGGTGCGCGCGAGCCGCTGGGCTGGACGGCACCCCCAGGTGGGCCCAGCGCCGATCCGAGAATTTCGCGCAGATGCTTCCCTTCCAACAGAGAGCTGTCGCAGGTCCGCAGTCTCTGAAGTCCGCGGCGGGCAGAGCGACGAGTGGATCGGCTGGACGATCGTCGCGCCTTCCCCTCTCGCCTGCTCCTCCTCTCCAGTCTCAGCATCGCTCCGACGTGTGCATTTTTCCTCGGCGAGAACCATCGAAGACCATCCTGGACCATCGAGCAAAGAAGCGCACGCACGGAACCGACAAACGCACGGGAAATGGACGTCCCAGCGATGGCGAGCAGGTGCGCCTCGCTGAACCATGGCATGTGTCCTCCTTCCCAGGGCGGGGAGGTTGCCGTGCCCCCGCCGGCGCCAGCAGCTGCCGGGACCTCCCCGGGGCCAGCCACGGGCACGCGGGCCGAGGAAGAGAAGACGAGGGCGAGCCGCGGCCGCGGGGCGGAGGCGGAGAGCGTGCTCCCGCTGCAGCGCTGGCGTCATTTCCCGCGCCATGCCACGGCATGCAATGCGATGCTAGGTTGATACTACGCTTCGCGGTGCTCTTCTACGCCATGCCATGCCGTGCTCTACAGTGCATCGCGGACCCTTTCGGGATCATTGCCCCGCTCGACATCCGACTGTGCGAGTACCCCGCCCCCCGGGGGGGCCTCGGGAGAGCTTCCGGGCCCTGCCGCACGGCGAGGCCGTGCGGCGGCAGCCCCCGGGGGGCAGCCCGCGCGCGCGGGCTGCCGCGGGGCAGCGAGGCGCCCCCCGCGGGCGCGGGCGCGCTGCCCCCGCGGCGGTGCGCGCAGCCGCCTGGCGCCTCCGCCTCGTGGCGCTGCGCGCTCTCCCGCGTGTGCCAGGCCTGCCGCCCGCTCGGCCGCGCTGTCCGCCCCCCCCCCTCGCGGTGCTCGGCCCTCGTCTGCCCAGGTGCTCGTCCTCGCCCGGCCGTCGCTGCTGCCGCCAGGCGCGCGCAGCTGGGGCCTGCCCGGCACAGTCGCATGGCCGCCCGTCGCTTCTCGGCTGCGCGAACAAGCAGGTTTGACTCGTGTGCTCCGTCATGTCAGAGTTGCAATGCTCAGCGCATGCCTTTCCAACCTGTGGTCTCTGCTCTGTCAGGGTGGGAGACTCCGCACTGGTGGGCGAGAGTCCTATCACCTCCTCCTCCTCCTCCTCCTCCTCCTCCTCCTCCTCCTCCTCCCTCCTTCTCCCTCCTCCCTCCTCCAAGCCGCCCGACTGCCGTGTAGGGAGCTAGTGACTGCAGTGTCGGGAGCTAGTAAACCTCTTGACGCTCCCAGGTGGAAGACACCCAAAAAGATTTTGGAGACCCCAGAAAGCCTCCGAATGCGATTACAGTTGCCCGCGGAAGGCTCCTGACGCCTCCAGGGATCTCCGAGTCCCCCGACATCCGCCGATTGGTTGCTTCCATCCGCGGCTCCAGGGGTTCCCGACAGCTTCTCCAGGGACAGCTTTTCGCCCCTGATCAATATCAGGAGGGAAAAAAACACACAGACACAATGAATCGTCGATTCCCCCAAAAATTTGGGAAAGTATGGTAACTGGGGGGGAAGACAAACACCCAACAAATATGGGAAAATATGAAAATATTTGTCCTTGGGGCCCGAGCACGGGCCCTAAGAGGGCCGAAGTCGAGGGAAAAGGCAAAAACAAAAAAAGAAACGGTGGAAAGACCCAGATCGTCGGAGGTCTTCGGGATCCCAGGACGGCCTGCCCTTAGTGGGCCCTGGAAACGACAGGGCCGTTTCTTTTACCGGTTCCGTTCTGCCGTTTTCTTGCCGGTTCCGACGCCGTTCTTTTACCGGTTCCGTCGCCGTTTTTGACCGGTTCCGGCTCCAGTTCCGTTCCGGTCGCCTTTTTTTTGCCGTTTCCGTTTTCAAGGGACACTTTTTTGGAAACGGTGAAGAAACGGCCTTGCCGTTTCCGGGGCCCACAAAGCCCAGGACGACCTGCCCCTCGCGCACAACGTGTGGTCGGCCTCGATCTTCGTGCACCGCTCGGCCCTGGTCCACTGCTGCCGCCTGATGGACGCCGCCGGCTCAGGCTCGGGCCGCCAGGAGGTTGGGGGGAAGCGCAGCAGCAGAAGCAGGGAGGGGGATGAGGCGCGGAGGGGGAGGAGGGGAGGAGGGAGGGGGAGAAACAGGTAATTATTGAGAGACGTGGAGGAGGAGGAGGAGGAGGAGGAGGAGGAGGAAGAGGAGGAGGAGGGAAAAGGGGAACGAGGGGGAGAAACGAGAGAGAAAGAGGAGGAGGAATGAAGAGGAGAGGTTGAGGAGGAGGAGGGGGAAGAGGAGGAGGAGAAGGAAGAGGAGGAGAAGGAGGAGTTGCAGGACCAGCGTAAATCCAGGATACATCATCAATGATGCTTCCACACCCTCCCACCTCAAGCCTCCCCCCTCATAAGTCCCTACAGGTAGCTACTCATGTCAACAACTATGGAGAGCGCCCAAGTGAAAGATGAGCGCCTCGTGCGTTTGCTGCTCAGGCGAGCGCCCTGATGTGAAAAGGAACCGCTCCCCGTCCTTATGAGTAGAAGACATGCCCAAATGTAGGATCACATCAAGGAAGTATCAACCCGGGTCCTTGTTTTGACCTGGACCGGCACGTCATCCTTGCAACGTCGGCAACTGAGCAAGTTCCTACTACACCTGAGGACGTCTCACGCGAGAGCCCAATGTTGAAACAGTGCCGCCCATCACCTACACGATTGATAGAATAGGTTGAAACGTGCCAGCCAGCGTGGACCCCAAAGAATGAGTTGTTGTACTATGGAGGTGCAAGCTATACGCCTCAAGCTATGTCGTGTACGTGATGTGATCTGAGGTATGGAGGTGAAAGGTCTGCGGTGCAACTAAGGTGTGCCAATTCGCGAGTTGGCAACTGCACTGCTCGCGCAACCATCTCACCCTCCCACCCGCAACTTGTTTTCCACAACCAATGCGGCCGCGATTGCGGCGACTCCTTGGCATTGGCTGCTGCATCTTTGCGGCTGCGCTAGCGCGCACGAACTGGCGCGCGGAGCGACCAGCTGGTTTGGCACAAACGATGCGGCCGCGATGACACTTTCTGATGGGAGCTCCCTGGCGCATCTCAAAGGCTGCGCTGACGCGCGGGCACTGCAATGCAGGTCAGAGACTTGGGCGGGCGCGGTACCATGATGACGTCGGCAACGACGGCAACGATGATGATAGTAGTAGCGATGTTGGTGGCATCGATGATGCTGACGACGGCGTGGCCCATAACGGCACCGATATTGGTGAGATCGATGACGATGATAATGTCCACGCGTCGGTGATGAAGGTGCTGGAGTGATGACGGCGGCAACGGCTGCGATTATCGATGACGGTGACGTGATGCAACGGCGCCCGTGGTGGTGACGGTGAGGAAGTGCGCGCGAGCGGATATGCAAGAAACTTGGCAGATGTGTTCCCAAACCTCCCGTGCTGGGTTCTCGTTTTGAATAGAGCAGTGGGGTCGCGTCTCATCCTTCCAACCTCCCTCCTCCTCTGTTCCTCCTCCTCTTCTCTCCTGCCTCTTGCCTGGCTCTGTGCTGCCTGCCAGCCTGCCTCCTGCCTTGACGTCCTACGTGACCTCGCCATCCCTGGGGGGCTGCGACAGGCGAGACTGTCACCACATTCGGGGGCTGCTGGGCCCAGATGAGACCTCGCCATTCTTGAGGAGCTGCGAGCTGCGAAACTGTCACCACTCTCGAGGGCTGCTGGGACGTCCAGCGGAGTGACGCCCCGCCAGGGACTCAGAGTAGACCCCGCCATGCCCGGGGGGCGGGCGAGCTGGGCCTCGCTCGCATCCTGCACCAGCGATGAATCAGTCAGGGCGCCAGGGCGACATCGCTGTTCGTTTGAGGGAAATTCTGTGGAACTCGCGTGGCAATGGCCCCGCCGATCGCCCCCCTGTTCCATGTCAGGCGAGATCCAGGAAGTCCGGCGAATCCGGCGAACACTCGACTGCACAACCCAGCACGTCCCAGCACGCGGCACGTCACGCCGCAAAGGTTTCTGGCCGCTGCTCCGCCCGTCCTACTTCGCCACGCGTATCTCCTTCTGCCTGCTGCTCCTCTCCTTCTCGTGGCCCGTTTCCTGGGGTACTCCTCTCGTGCAATTGCAGCGATCAGCTGCCGTACCTTCTTGTCCTGCCTCTGCCTGCCGCCCCCCCTTTTCCTGCCTCGTCGCCTGGGGTTCGCCTGCGCTCGGTTCCACTATCCATGTTTTTTGGCAGCGATCAGCTGCTCCTGGGGAACGCCATCACCTCTCATCCTGCTCTCCGTACACTTGCAGCGATCGGCTGCCGCTTCTCATCGCCCAGTGTTCCCTGTGTTTGCGGCGATCAGCCGCCCTCCCTGCCTCCATAGTCCTGGGGAAAAAGTCTGGTAGGTACCTCTCGAGGTCCTGCCCTGCGCTGGCACCTGGGCTGGCGCCTACTACTGCGGGCCCCCCCCCCCCCCCGTGGCTGGAGTCGCGGGCGCCCGCCCTGCCGCCACCTGTGGCGGCGGCCATTGGAGGGCCCCTGTCCCCGGGCCGCTCTCCCGATCACCCCCGGGCTGGCGGCCTCCTCTGAACCGCTGCCAGCTGCCGCCAGGTCTGGGCTGCGGGCGGCTGGCAGCTACGCACGCGGCGACGGCGTCTCCCTGTTCCTCGTCGACGTGATGGCCACAAGGATTCATGGCGACGGCCTCCGGCATGGACGAGCTGCGGGTATGCCAGGGGTTTTCCCCGTCCGCTGCAGGCGTTCGTCGGCACGGTCTCCCTGGTGACGTTTATTGCGGGCCGCTGGCCGCTGGGCTGCCGGCCGCCCGCCGCGCCACGCGCGGGGTACCCGCTGTGGTGGCGCCTCGCGCCCTCTTGCGCGGCTTCGCCGCGCCGCTCACTGCAGCTGCCTCCGGGGCTCGGCGCGCGGGGCGCCCCGGATGGCTCTGGTCGCGCTGCCTGTGGCTTCTGGGTCCGTGCTGCCCCCTGCCTGGGGAGCCTTTGATTTTCTCTGGGGGGAATCCCGGAGCGGCCGCAGCCCGACCGGCCTCCGCTTCGTCCTCGCGGTGCTCGTCTCTCGCGCGTCGGCGTACACCTGCGCGTTCTACACAGTACCCTGAGGCCGCTTATCTCCGCGGCAGCCTCGCATCGCCGTTCATGCCCGTCGCGGAGGCGCTTTCGCTGCCCTTTCTGGCCCGCTGTTCCACGTGAAGTCCTACTTGGTCCTGTACTTCGCGTTCGGCAAGGTACTTGGGGAATCGTTGGCCCGTATCTCTCTTTTTCTCCTGGTTGTCGCCGCCTCGGGTTACTTGGCGCCCGACTTCCACTCGCTTTGGTCATGTGGGCGGTCTTTCGCTCATTCTACACCAGCATCCTCATCGGCATCCTTGTGGGTGGTCTCGCGGTACCTGTGAGATGCCTCCCGCGCCATTTTGGCTGCGTTTCGCTCTGCTCCGCTCTGTTGCGATACGGCGCGACCCGCCCAAGCGTGCTCGGCGTTCGAGTTGTTTGGCTCGCCCGCGTGTTAAAAAGTATCCCTACCAGCCCATCCAGAAACGATGCCCAGGCGAGTTGCCTCTCAGAGTCTCCTCGGACGTCTCTTGAGAGTTTGTTGGAGGCCTCTTGGAGTGTCTTGGGAGCCTCTTGGCGGTCCTGGGGGCCTCTGGAGCGTCTTGGGTGTTTCGGAGAGCTTCGTGGGGCCTCTTAGGGCTCTCTTGGGAGCCTCCTGGAGGGCTCTTGGGCGCCTCTTGGGGCCTCTTGGGAGGATCGCGGGGCCCTCTTAAGGCGTTCAGCCTTGGGAGCGCTTTGGGGGCCATTTTGGAAGAGATCGATGAAAAAAGGGGGGGGTCCATTACGCCCCCCGCCTTCGGGAGGCGACCGGTGGTTACTGCGGCCCGCCGGGTGTTGGCGCGGCCCGTCGCGCAACCGGATGGGAGTCACTGTGGCCCGCGCTGGCCGTTCAATTGAAAAATAGTATGTCAAGGTATTTCATGTTCGTTGTGGAGAGATTCCAAACCCTCAAGGGAATGCCTTCCCGCGCAGGCAAACAGTGGTTACAGTAACCCCCACCTGGAACCAACGTAGTATAAGTAGTAGTGGTAGTAGTAGTCGTAGTAGTAATACTAGTGGTAGTGGTAGTGGTAGGAGTAGGAGTAGGAGTAGTAGTAGTAGTAGTAGTAGTAGTAGTAGTAGTAGTAGTAGTAGTAGTAGTAGTAGTAGTTGTAGTTGTAGTTGTTGTAGTAGTAGTAGTAGTAGTAGTAGTAGTCGTAGTCGTAGTCGTAGTCGTAGTCGTAGTAGTAGTAGTAGTAGTAGTAGTAGTAGTAGTAGTAGTAGTAGTAGTAGTAGTAGTAGTAGTAGTAGTAGTAGTAGTAGTAGTAGTAGTAGTAGTAGTAGTAGTAGTAGTAGTAGTAGTAGTAGTAGTAGTAGTAGTAGCAGTAGTAGTAGTAGTAGTAGTAGTAGTAGTAGTAGTAGTAGTTGTAGCAGTAGCAGTAGTAGTAGTAAGAGTAGCAGTACTAGTACTCGTAGTACTCGTAGTACTCGTAGTACTCGTAGTACTCGTAGTACTCGTAGCACTCGTAGTAGTCGTAGTACTCGTAGTACTCGTAGTACTCGTAGTAGCAGTAGCAGTAGTAGTAGTTGTAGTAGTAGTAGTAGTAGCAGCAGCAGCAGCAGTAGTAGTAGTAGTAGTAGTAGTAGTCGGAATGCATTAGTCCTAGTACTAGTACTAATACGACTAGTCGTTGTAGTACGTAGTAGTAGTAGTAGTAGTAGTTAGTAGTAGTAGTAGTAGAGTAGTAGGTAGTAGTAGTAGTAGTAGTAGTAGTAGTAAGTAGTAGTAGTAGTAGTAGTAGTAGTAGTAGTAGTGTAAGTAGTAGGAGTAGTAGGAGTAGTAGCGGTAACAATGTTAGTATTATTATTAGTATCATTATATTATTAGTAGTAGTAGTAGTAGTAGTAGTAGTAGTAGTAGTAGTAGTAGTGGTAGTAGTAGTGGTAGTAGTAGTAGTAGTAGAAGTAGTAGTAGTAGTGGTAGTGGAAGTTGTAGTAGTAGTAGTAGTAGTAGTAGTAGTATCAGTAGTACCAGTAGTAGTAGTAGTAGTAGTAGTAGTAGTAGTAGTAGTAGTAGTAGTGGTACTCGTAATAGTCGCTTACGTAGTCGTAGCGTAGTCGCAGTAGTAGTAGTAGTAGTAGTAGTAGCAGTAGTAGTAGTAGTAGTAGTAGTAAGGGGTAGTAGTAGTAGTACTAGTACTAGTACTGGTAGTAGTAGTGGTGGTAGTAGTAGTAGTAGTAGTGACAGCAAACGTAGTAGTAGTCGTAGTAGTAGTAGTAGCGGTAGTAGTAGTAGTAGTAGTAGTAGTAGTGGTAGTAGTAGTGGTAGTAGTAGTTCTAGTAGCAGCAGTACTAGAACTAGTAGTAGTAGTAGTAGTAGTAGTAGTAGTAGTAGTAGTAGCACTCGTTGCCGTGATCGAAGTACTAGTAGTAATCGTAGTAGTAGCGGTAGTAGTAGTAGTAGTAGTAGTAGTAGTCGTAGGAGTACTAGCAGTAGCAGTAGTGGTAGCGGTAGCCGTCGTAGTAGTAGTCGTCGTAGTAGTAGTAGTAGTAGGAGGAGGAGGAGGAGGAGGAGTACTAGCAGTAGCAGTAGTAGTAGTAGTAGCGGTAGTAGTAGTAGTAGTAGTAGTAGTAGCAGTAGTAGTAGTAGTAGTAGTAGTAGATGTAGTAGTAGTAGGAGTAGTATTAGTATTAGTATTAGTATTAGTATTAGTATTAGTATTAGTAGTAGTAGTAGTAGTAGTTGTTGTTGTTGTTGTAGTAGTCGTAGTAGTAGTAGTAGTAGCAGCAGCAGCAGCAGTAGCAGTAGCAGTAGCAGTAGCAAAAGTAGTAGTACTCATCGTTGTAGTTGTCGTAGTACTTATGGTGCGGTGAAGTGCGGAAAGGTACTGAGGAGCGAGGAGGAGTGCGGAGAGGGGGGACGAATGGAGCGTGCCGAGGTGTGCGATGGAGTGCGGAGGAATGGGAGGCTCTGGAGGGCTCCTTGGAGGCCTCTGGAGGGCTCCTTGGAGGGCCCTTTGGAGACCCTGAAGGCCTCGGAGCGCCCACGATGCTCTTCGTCTGCTCCAAGAGGCTCTTCGGAGAGCCCAAGAGGCTCTTCGGCGGCTCCAAAAGGCGTGTCGGCGGCCCCCAGAGGCTCCTCCAAGAGGCCCTTCGGTGAAGGGGGGGGAGGAGGCTCTTTGGAGATTCCCCCCCACCTTCACAGCATTCGTTGATTAATACTCTCCGGAGGAACCCTGGCCATACTGACACCCACCGGGCCGCACAAACAACCAACGGGCCACAGTAACACCGTGTGTCCCTTCGGGAACCCCGAAAATCACCTCTTGGGCCCCCCCCTTTTGGGACGCTCTTGGAGCGCTGTATGGCGCTCTTGAGGCCGCCTTGGGGCTCCATCGGGTCTCTCTTGGGACACTCATGGGCCCTCTTGGAACTGTCTTAAGGCCTCGGAAGGCCATCGGAAGCGAAAAGGCGAGAAGGCAGAAGTCATTGTTTTTCTTTTGGTTTTTGAATGAGCCGTTTTCTGAAGGCCCAGGGCCTGCCAAGGACCCCTACGGGCCGAAACTTGCCGAAACCTATCCATTGCTATTTTTCCACGACGCAAGGGGGATCGGTCGAGGGAGTACAAGTATACCCCTGGACATGTTCCATGCTTCGCTGGACCAGGACACCGAGGCGGGTCCAGCCGCGGCGACGAGACCCCCAGAGGCCCAGAAAAGGCGAAAAGCTTGCAAAAGCTTCGAGCCTCGAGGTTCGAACCGAACCTCGCATTTGTCCAAGGGGGGGCGAGCACGGCCACTCCTGCGCGTATAGCCGGCAAGAGAGTCTGCAGTCGGGAGCGTTTGCTTAGCATGTCGCGCCGCCGCTTTGGGCCCGCCACGCGTCGGCGCGAGACGCTACAGTGAGCGGCTTGAATAAGGAACACTTTTCGTTGAGGAGGGGCTCGGTGCTCCTTGATTGTTTCACAGTTTGCCTCGGGCTTTCCTGAGGTCTTCCATGGAAAATCAAAGTTCCATTTATATGGAGAAAGGGGCCTCGTTCCTTATTTAGGGCTCCTTGGGTCAACGCCCCGACTGTAAGCACGTCCCAGCCCCCAGGCGTCAACGCACCGGGCCCTTCCCGAGCCTCCCGTGCCCCGAAGCGGAGTGCCACGCCATCGGCTCGCGGGGCACGGCGTGTCGCAGGGGCCGCCGCCGCGGCACGCTCGGCAGAAGTTCCTGGCGCCGTCGCGCCAGTGTCCCTCGGGGCCTCCGGGGGCAGGGCCCCCGGTCGCCGGGCCGCGGCCCCACGGCTCGGGCGGCCGGGCTCCGCACGCGGGCAGCTTGCAGGGGTGGGCGGCGTCAGTGGTGATGATGATGGTGATGATGATGATGATGATGATGATGCTGATACGATGAGGGTGATGATGATGATGATGGTGATGGTGATGGTGATGGTGATGATGATGATGATGATGATGATGATGATGATGACGATGATGATGGTGATGGTGATGGTGATGGTGATGGCGATGGTGATGGTGATGGTGATGGTGATGGTGATGGTGATGGTGATGGTGATGGTGATGGTGATGGTGATGATCAGAGCGTGAATTACCTACCCCGCTTTCGCTTCCAGGCAAAACCAAGTCATACCACGCGCCTCCTCGTCAAGCGGCCTGGCCAGTACAGGCCGTAGTTTGGCATCGCTTGGTATCTCTTGGAAACGAGGGTGGTCAAAAGCGAGGTAGGTTTGTTTGCCCCCTAGATGATGATGTTGATGAGGTGGAAGAAGAAGAGGAGGAGAAGGAGGATGAAAATGATGATGATGGCGATGGTAGTAGCGATGATGTTATTACTGGTTATAGTGAGGATGTTGAAGGTGATAACGATGCTGCTGATGATGATGCTGATACGATGAGGGTGATGATGATGATGATGATGATGATGATGATGATGATGATGGTACTGGTGATGGCGATGGTGATGGTGATGACGATGATGGTCATGGTGGTGGAGATGGCGATGGTGATGGTGGTGGAAATGCTGATGGTGATGGTGATGGCGAAAAGGATGGTGATTGTGATTATGACGCTTATGACGATGATGATGATGATGATGATGGTGATTGTGATGGTGATGGTGATGCTGACGGTGATGACAAAGACGACGACGATGATGATGACGATGACGACGATGACAGCGCGGTGGAGGATAAGGAGCAACAGGCGCACAAGGAAGAGGACGAGCAGCAGCAGCAGCAGCAGCGGCCTGGAAATGATGAAGAGGAGCATCACCAAGAGGAGGGGATGGTTTGGTCTCTGGCTCTCCGTGGCAGGCCACGTGTCCACGAGGAACTTTCTGTCCGCGGCCAGGGCCTCGGCGACGGGTGCCCGTGCGACGACCTTGCGATCGTGAGCCGCGCATTATCATGCCAGCGTTCCTGAGAGATGCTGACAGCATCACTTCTGCTCGGTTTCAACGTGTGACGAAGAGGGCGTTCACCAGCGCGCCAAGGGGAGAAGTGAGATGGGGCGAGCCTTCTCAGGCGGCGGCAGAGATTCTCAGAAGCTCTCTGGCCGTTGAGAATGCCTTTGCGGATCCCAGGGGCTTAGACAGTTTTTCACAAGGCCCGAGTCCTATCGGACCTTCTGAGAAGGTCCAATCTGCATTCCACTTGGGCGCGCCGCCGACCATTGCCCAGTGCGGGAAGATGTCAACGTGCGCTTTCCGCGAGGGTGTTGCCTTCATATGTTATGTGCGTGGTATATGCTATGTGTTGGTTGGTGTGTGGTGTGAGTTGTGTGATGTGTGTGTTGTGTTGTGTGTTGAGCGTTGTGGGTGTTGTGTGTGCTATGAGTTGTGAGTTGTGTGTTGTGTAATTGTGTGTTGTTTGCTGTGCGATGCGTTATGCGTGTTGCGTGTGTTGTGTGGTGTGGGTTGAGCGTTGTGGGTGGTGTGTGGGTTGTGTAATTGTGTGTGTTGTGTGTTGTGCAATGCGTGATGCGTGTTGCGTGTGTGGGTGTTGAGTGTTGAGTGTTGTGTGGTGTGTGTCATGTGTGCGCACATGTGTGTGTGTGCTCTCGACTGCAGGCCTCGACGCTGCGCGCGTGACTGCGACGGCAAACACGTGAGCACAAGTGTGTGTGTGTGTGCGCGTACGTGTACGTGTGTGTGTGTGTGTGCCTGTGTGTGTGTGTGCGTGAGTGCAGGTGCGTGACTGAGTGAGTGTGTGTGTGCGCGTGTGTGCGTGCGTGCGTGTGTTTGTGTGTGCGTCTTGGGATGGATTTGGTTGGTCTGGGCTGGACTGTGTTGTGTTGTGTTGAATTGTGTTGTGGTGAGACGGGCTGGGGTGGGGTGGGGTGTCGTGTGTTGCGTTCTGTAGGCGTGCGGTGTGTTGCAATGTGTTGTGTTGTGTGTGTGGGTGTTGTGTGTGTGGGTGGTGGTGTGTGTCTGTGTGTGCGCGTGTGTGCGCGCGCGTGTGTGTGTGTGCGTGTGTAGATGTGCATGTGCGTGTGTCGTGTGCGTGTGTGTATGCATGTGTGCATGGGTGTGTGCGCGTGTCGTGTGTGGGCGTGTGTGTGAGTGTGCGCGTGTGAGTGTGTGTATGCATGTGTGTGAATCTGTGTTTGCGTGTGTGTATGCTGGCGTGCGTGCGTGCCTGCGTGCGTGCGGCGCGTGCCTGCGTGCGGTGCGTGCGTGCGTGCGTGTGTGTCTGTGTGTGTGCGAGTGTGTGTGAGGGTGTCTTGCTCCGCCTCGGCGCTGCGCGCGAGGCTGCAACCGCTAGACATGGCGTTGTGTGTGTGTCCGCGTGCGTGCGTGTGTGTGTGTGGGTGTGTGCGTGCGTGTGTGGGTTTGTGTGCGTGTGCGTGTGCGTGTCTGTGTGTTTGTGTGTACGTTCGCGGGTGCGTGAGTGTGTGTGTGTGTCCATGGATGGTGTGTGATGTCTGTGATGTGTGTGTGTGGTTTGTGGTGTGTGTGTGCTGTGTGCGTATGTGTGTGTGCGTGTCTGTCTGCGTGAGTGTGTGTGTGGTGTGGTGTGGTGTGGTGTGTGTGGTTGTGTGCGGTTGTATATGTGTGTGGGTGTTAGTGTAGGGTTGCGTACGGTTGCGTGTGCAGTGAGTTCGTGTGTGTGTGCGTGTGCGTGTGCGCGTGCGCGCGTGCGTGCATGTGCGCGTGCGCGTGCGTGTGCGGTTGCGTGTGCGTGTGCGTGTGCGTGTGCGTGTACGTGTGCGTGTGCGCGTGAGCGTGAGCGTGGGTGTGCGTGCGTGCGTGTGTGTGTGTGTGTCGGTGTCTGTCTGTTGTGTGTTGTGTGTGTTGTACGTGGTGTGTGTGTGTGTGTGTGTTTGTGTGTGCGAGTGTGTATTTGCACATTTGCGTGTGTGCGTGTGTGCGTGTGCGTTTGTGCGCGTGTGCGTGTGTACGTGTGGGCGTGTGTGCGTGTGTGCGTGTGTACGTGTGTGCGTGTGTGCATGCGTGCGTGTGTGCGTGTGTGCGTGTGTGCGCGTGTGCGTGTGATTGGGCGTGTGCGTGTGCGCATGCGAGTGCGTGCGTGTACGTGTGCGTGTAGGTGTGGGCATTGGATTGGGTGTGGGTTCGGGTTTGGGTGTAGGGGTGGGGGTGCGGGGTGGATGGGTGGGGGGGGGGACGGTGGGTGGGTGGCTGGGTGGTGGGGTGGGATGGGGGGGGAGGGAGGGTGATGGGAGGGGGGGGGGCAGGCGGGCGGGCGTGTGGTCGGGTGTGGGGGTGTGGGTTGGGGGGGGGGGGGCTGGGATGGGGGTAGGGGTGGGGGTGGTGGTGGGGCATGGGGGTTGGTGGGTGGGGTTTGGTGGGTGGGTGTGGAGTGGGAGAGGGGGTGGGGGGGGGGGGGGGGGCGGCACCCAAGATTCGCGATAATCTCGAGCAAGGGGAACGAGGGGGAGGAGGGGTGGAGGAGGAGAGGGAAGAAGGGGGGGAGCAGGTGGCGGGAGGAGGTGGTTAAGCACGAGGATGCGGGGGGGGAGGATCAGAAGCAGCAGGAGGACGAACAGAAGGAGGAGGAGGAGGAGGAGGAGGAGGAGGAGGGGCGGGAGGTTGGGAGGGAGGCAGGAGGAGGAGGAGATAGAGGAGGAGATAGAGGAGGAGGAGGTGGAGGAGTAGGAGGAAGAGGGGCAGGACCAGGAGAAGAGGAGGTCTACGCTCTCACTGGCGGGCTGCGGGGCGGAGGCGCTCCCGAGAGCCCCGCAGCACGCTGATCGGGGCTCGGCCAGGCCGCCGAGACGGCCGCTTCACATCGATCGATCAGGGATGGGGCGATCGCTCGGGCTCCCGATCGGCAGGGTGCAACGGCGACAACGACGACGACGACGACGACGACGACGACGGACGAGGACGACGACGACGGACGAGGACGATGACGACGACGACGACGACGACGACGACGGAAGAGGACGAGGGCGAAGGCGGACGGAGGCAGACGGACGACGCACGACGGACGGATGGATGACGAACGACAGCAACGGACGAGGATGATGGCGATGAGGGCAAGGACGACGACGAAGATGGAGGAAGGCTGACGGACGACGCACGGCGGACGGACGGATGACGAACGACGACGACGGACGGACGGATGACGGACGGCGGCGGTGGCGACGGCGACGACGACGACGACGACGACGGCGACGGCGACGGCGACGGCGACGGCGACGGCGACGGCGACGGCGACGACGACGACGACGACGACGACGACGACGACGGTGACGATTGACGCACGGCGGCGACGACGACGACGATGACCCTTGCACTCCGTTCCCCGCACATCGCTTGGAGTGCGTTTTGGCAGGAATCGGCAGGGGGAGCCCCGCCGTGGCGAAGAGAGGCCCCAAGGAGGCCCCAGACGGGCGAACAGAAGGCTCGAAGCCACCGATCCTCGTACGATAGACGGCGACGACGACGACGACGACGACGGCGACGGCGACGGCGACGACGGACGATTGAGACGACGACGGCGACGGCGCGAACGACGGAAGTCGACGACGACGACGGTGACGATGCCAGGCGATTGAGACGACGCGAGTCGAGGTGGCGATGACAGGCGACGGCGCGGACGACGCGAGTCGACGACGACGACGACGACGACGACGACGACGACGACGACAACGGCCGTGGTCAACGACGGTGTTGAGGTCGAGGCTCTCGGCCTCATCCTCGGTCGCCCCTTCACTGCGGGCGACTTGCTGGAGCTCGAGAAGAGCATCGGCGACACCCTCATGGACCCAAGGGGGGCTCACGCAGCTGCACCTGGGAAGTCGTCGTCGTCCTCCTCCGCCTCCTCCTCCCCATCATCCACCTTCCCTCCTCCCTTCTTCTCCATCTCCTCCCTCGCCCTCCTTCTCCATCCTCCCTCCGCTTCACCAGTCTCCCTCCTCCCCCTCCATCTTCATTTCTCCCCCTCACCATCGTCAACAACATCAGCACATCATCCGCATCAGTACCATCGCCGTCGCCATCGCCGACACCACCATCATCAACAACATAGCATTATCATATGAATCATCCTCCTCATCGTCATCATCATTAGCCGTGGTACCAGCATCGTGGCAAACTTATTAGTCGGCCCGAGTGACTGCTGTTCTGACTGCAGCATTGTAGCCGACGAGTTTGCCAAGCCCCAGGCGCAGCGCCTCCATCCGAATAGGCCATACGCGGGGCTAGTCTTGAAGGTGTTCGCTTTCCCTAAAGGCAGATTGGCAGAAATGCTGAAGGTCAAAGCCCGTCTAGATGACGATCCGTCCATGCCGTTTGAGGAACGTGTTCCCAGATGGGGCAACAACGAGGCCGAGAGGGCCGCGAAGCGAGACGCGCAGTTGCACCCCCGTTGGTCGGAGACTTGGGAGGAGCATGTCGGTTTCTTGGCATCTGCCTTGCAGGCCACCCTTCGGCTTGTTGCGAATATGATGCAGAGATGGCCTTGGACGGAGTTGGACGTGGTTCAGTGTGTAGCCCCCCCCCCTCCTGCCCCGCCTGCTGCCAAGCCTCCTCACAATTGGAAGTGGGTAGGGAAGTGTTGGCAGTGTGGCGAGTGTTTGCGTAGCTCTCGTCGTGATCAGAGTGTGACCCCCTCTCACTGGGCATTGCTCTAAAGTGCTGAAATTCAACCCGCAGGTTTTCCGATGGCTCGGCCATGAGTGTATTGTGGTCGATTGAAGTGATGAATAGGTTGCATGGTTTTGTCAGCGCTGTTTCTTTTATTATTCGGGAGGTCAGCTTCGAGGGTTGGGTCACCCTTGCCTGCAGCTCCCCCAGGCGCCTGCTGCATTGGCGGTCGGTGGGCAATGCCAGGCGCATGGAGGGTTGGTCTAAGCTCCGCAAAGGCCGCCATCGGAAGCGGAAGGGGGTAACAGTAGATGTGGACGGCACAGACCGCCTAAAGGTGGTTCAGCGGTTGCGGATGTCAAAAAAACAGCAGCACCACCACCAACATCATCGTCATTACCATCATCGTCGTCATCGAAATCATCGTCAGCATCGCCATCACCACCATCATCATCATCAGCATCATCATCAGCAGCAGCATCATCATCAGCATCATCATCGTCAGCATATTCAGCATCATCATCATCATCATCATCATCATCATCATCATCATCATCATCATCATCATCATCAGCATCGTCATCATCAGCATCGTCATCCTCACCATCGTCATCATCATCGTCATCTTCACCGTCGTCACCATCGACATTAGCAGCATCATCAGCATCGCCGTCATCACCATCATCAGCACCGTCATCGCCAGCATCGTCTACATGACCATCATCATGTTCACTGCCACGGTCCTCATCATGTGCATCCTTACCAGCATCCTCCTCAGCATCAGCATCATCATTCCGCCGGCTCCTCCCCTCACTCCCGCGCGCGGCGCGCGCGCGGGGGGGGGGGGGCGCGGGCGGGCTGGAGGGAGGGTCGAGAATCGAGGATTCGATGTTTCCTAGGCGCTTGCCCCTTGGGGGGGGGCGGGGGATCCAGGGAGGGGGGAGGGACGCTCGTGGTCTCGGCTGGACTCCCTTGGACATCAGGTTCGCGCTAGAACGCACTCTGGGAGATGTCCTGGGGCTGCTCTTTGATGGGAGGAGGGGGAGCAGGAGGAGAGGGAGGAGGAGGCGGACGACGAGGAGGAACAGGAGGAGGAGGAGGAGGAGACAGCGGATATGCAGGAGGCGGAGAAGGAGGAGGAGGAGGAGGAGGGGGCGGAGAGGGAGGAGGAGGAGGAGGAGGAGGAGGACGACGACGAAGAGGAGTCGGAGGAGGAGGAGGGGGCCCAGTGTAAATCCAAGACGCATCAACGATGTTACAATAAACCCTGTCTTCAAGCTCCCTCTTCATAGACCCCTACAACAAAATGTGCTATCACTGCTAGAAGGGCCCCGTTGGACAGCAACTGTCTGAGCATCCTCGACAGTGACAAAACATTGGATTTGTACGCCGCTGACGAGCTTTACTTTTGCGTGCTGACGATCCTGCATCGCGCCAGAACACAAGCCCTGGGACTTCGACACCGCGAGTAAACGTGATTGTTGCGCCCTGACAATCCTATGTCGCGCCAGAGCATCATTCCTGGGACGTCAACCAACTCTTCGAATTCAAAGACGCGCTTGCGCGGCGATATTGCGGGAGCCACACTTGCCACACTTTGAACAAGAGCCGCCTTCCATCTGTGAAACTCCTGCAGACCTTTACGACGAGTGCGCGCGGCGCTCAGGCGAGAGCCACAGCTCGAAGACCGCCCGCCTGCCCTCAGTGAGACTCCTGCACGCTGTTAAAAAAACGAATGTGCGCGGCGCCTGGGCGAGAGCCGCGTTCTGGACACCACCCGGGAAGCCCTGGCAAATCATTGGGACGAGTGCGCGCGGCGCCGAAGCCAGAGAGCCACGTGTTGAAAACGGCCCACCCTCCACCCGCGAAACCCCTGCAACTTTTGAAGCTTCGGTGTCGCGAACGGTGCAGAGGCCGCAGGCGAAACGCCCAGTCCACCATATCCACGCGCCCCTGGGCGCGACAAGGAGGAGTTGCGCATGAGGGCATCAAGTGATGGAAGGGGGAGGAGGCATAGGATGAGGGCCTGCTTCCTTGCAGTTCTACTCGCGCAGCATGGCCTTTAGTGGCATGAATGAGCGTGCGCACATGTGGCAGGGAATATGCTATGTGTTTGAGGACGGGACGCAAGCCCGAACAGTTCTTGCACACAGTACGATGGCTGATGTGCGCGAGGGACGCCCGAATGTGATGTTCAAGCGAGGGGATGATGAACCAGATGGGTACGCCCGAATGTGCTCACGTAGCCATCCAGCTGGCGGTGACTGCATTAAGCATAGTTCTCCCTCGGGTTGCTTGGGAGGTGTGGGTCCCAGGATGTCCATGAAGCCAAATTCAAGCTGTGCGGCACGATCGGTTCTCCTGATTGCACGGCCACCCGTCGCAAGATTTCGAGGCGTGCGGCGAATAAAGTTTGTTTTAAGACATTTCTATATGCCAGAAGATTCAGAGCTTCGGCCAGTTTGTCCAGCGATTTATTCGGAGTTGCATAAAAAGGTCCAGAGCTGGAAGTTCGTATCTTGCTCAAGGATCAGGTGCTCAGAATGGCATTGGTTTTCGATGCGGATGGAAAGCAGATTCCCAGAAGCAACGAAGTAGCAATGTGCACCAAGTACGGCGGATATGCGTCAGGTGGAGTCGTATCCTTGGCTAGTGGCAGGAGCCCACTTACGCATTAAAGAGGCAGAGGGAGAGGATGCAGAGGGGGGTGCTTCCTAGCTTGGCGGAGCAATATCATTTTTGGCCGATCGGCCCGATGAGGCCGCCCAGCCATGTGGAGCTGTACCACCTCGGAATGCGATGGGTCAAGAGCCGCCCAAATGCCCCCCGCTCGCTGGTGCAAGGTGGAACCCAATCCAAGTTGAGCGCTGGGGCGAGGCTGAGCTCCTGACGCGCCACGGTCTCGATCAGGGCATGCTTGCTTCTCTAATGGCCTTGGAGCGTGACGGGGCCAAGAAGTCAGACGGCTCTGACAGTGATCAGAAGTGGTGGTTCGTTTTGAGTGCTTCGGGGTGAGCGGCATTGACGTTCTCTCTACGTGGAAGAGAACAGGACAGGACGACGGCTCAGCTTCGATGATCGAGGATTTGGCTGGTTGCGTGGTTTCGACATTTTGTGTGTCTCCTGAGGCTTCCAGAGATTCCAGAGGCCTCAGGAGGCCCTTGGAGACCCCACGAGATCCCCAGGCATGTCTGGAGAGAGGAGGAAGTGGAGGAGGCGGAAGTGGAGGAGGAGGATAAGGATATGGGGGAGGAGGGGGAGGATGAGGAGGAGGAGAAGGAGAAGGTGGAGGAGGAGAGGGAGAAGGAGAAGAGGAAGGGAAAGGAACATGATAAGAAAAAGAAGAAGAAGAAGAAAAAGAAGGAGAAACGGAAAGGGAACCAACAAGATAAATAAGAGGAGGTGGAGGAGGAGGAGGAGGACGACGACGACGACGACGTGGACGAGGAGGAGCAGCAGGAGAAGGAAAAGCAGGAACATAAGCAGGAGGAGCAGCAGCAGGAACGGGCGCGGGAGCAGGAGTAGCGACAGCAGGAGCGGGAGGAGGACGAGGACGAGGACGAGGACGAGGGCGAGGACAAGGAGGAGGAGGAGGAGGAGGAGAAGGGTGAGGTAATTAGGGGGGGGAACTCGTTTGGCTTTTCCCCATCCTTGAATCCTCTGTTGCAATTTGTGGGACATTGGACTGCGCTGATTCTGCTGATTTTGCTGTACGGAGAGGGGAAGGTGGAGGAGGAGGAGGAGGAGGTGAAAGAGGAGGAGGAGGAGGAGGAGGAGGAGGAGGAGGAGGAGGGGGACGAGTGCGTTTGAGAGGAAGGAGAAGGAGAGAGGGGGAGGAGGAGGAGGAGGAGGAGGAGGAGGAGGAGGAGGAGGAGGAGGGTGAAGAAGAGGAGGGTGAGCGATGGAGGAATCAGGGGGGTGGAGGGGGACGGATGTGGAGGGGGATGCCGGTATGGGGGAAGGTGGCCATGTGTACGACGGGAATTGCGAAGCGACTCCCGCTTGGATTCCAAAACTAAGTTGAAGGGGAAAGCCGCTCGCGATTGCCGAAGGGCCCCCCTAAAACAAATATGCGGTTTGCTTGAGACATCATCTGGCAATTGAGGTGTCGCAGCTGTTGTATGCATGTTTTCCTCTCGGGCTCCACGAGGTGTCCGAGAGGGCCCCAAGGGGGCTCCGACATAGCCCAATAGAAACATTGAAGGCCCCACTGTAGCGCAGATAGAGTCCGAGGAGCAATCCAATATGCTCTGCAAGGACTGAAAAGGGCCCCCGGTAGCCGACATGTTGAGGAGGCCTCCAGCATGTCTTTCCAAAGGCCGAGCGGGTGATCACGGTCATGTGAATTTAAAAGGCCATGCAGGCTCAAGAGGGCCCGATATAGACCGAATAGAGTCCGAGGAGGCCTCCAAGGTGGTCTAAGAGGGCTCAAAGAGGGATCCAAGATAGCCCGCTAGGTCTAGGAGAAACGGCCGAGCGGGCTTACGCTCAAAATGTAGATTAAAACGGCCATGTGGGTGTTGGATCAGTTGGGCGGGTTGAAACGGCTGGGCGGGTTTACCACAGCCCGGCGGATTGAAACGGCCAGGCGGGTTGAAACGGCCATGCGGGATAAGACAGTCAAGCGGGTTGAAACACCTTGGTTGGCAGATGGGACCAAGCAGGATCAGACCGCAAGGCGGCTCAATCTCCCCAGACAGGACCAACGGCCAGGCGGGCTACAATTCCTGACGGTGCCGACTATGATTGCAGGTCATAATGCACGGTTGTGCGCTTGGCAGTTTGCAGGTGCTCGCGCCGTGCGCGTGCTATTGTTGTTTCACGCGGGGCCGCTTGCTATTCGCAGCTGCTTACGCCGAGCATTATTGCGTGCTGTCTTCGACGGGCAGTGGGTTTGGCTGTTCGCGGTTGCTTTTCGTTTTTCGTATTCTTCAGCAGCCGTTTCGCGTGAGACGTCATCCAAACATTGAGACCCGTCGTGTTTCATATCGCCCCCAGCTCCAAGGTCGTCCAGGCATGATCCCAAGAGGCCTCCAAGATGACCCAGGAAGCCTCGGGTGCTTTCCAACAGGCATCAGGGGAAAGGAGCATGCAACGGAGGAACAAGAAGAGTGAAGGGGAGCGCGGATGAGTTGGGGTAAGAGGAGGAGTGCAGAGGGGGTGGAGAAGCGACGAGGAGGAGGCACGACGACCAGGGCGAGGAGGAGGAGGAAGAGGAGTGAGGGAAAGGAGGGGGATGAGGAGGAGGAGTGAGGGTAGACGCGAGGAGCCAGAAGACGCAGTGAGGAGAAGGACGAGGAGCAGGTGGAGGAGGAGGAGGAGCGAGGAAGAGCAAGAAGCAGCAGCACGCAGCAGCAAGTAACGCCGAGTGTCATCCAGCAGCTGCGAACGACGGCAATCAACCGCATCCGCAGTTTGGATGCCTATTTTGGGGGGTGGTGGGGGGCGGCTCGTCGCCATGCCGTGGCATTGAGCCAGAATGACGAGAGACCCCTCCCTACCTCTCCTTTCTCCGGGGTGGCATCGCGGATCTGCATGACTTATTTCCGCCACGGGCAAGAAATTCTTCACACTCACACACCCGAGCTTTCCTTGCCACAGCGTCGGCGTGGCCGGGGAAGGTATCGAGTTGACGGGCTGTGAAAAGGGGCAGATGTACCCATTCCGCGTCTCGCTCTTCGGCAAACGTCGGCTCCACGCCCTCTTGTGCCGTCGTGACTCGACCTTCCTCCGAGTTCCCCGCCAATCTTCCCATGAGCCCCCTCCCTAGGATTACCAGTCGGCCCTCAACGACTTCAGTGTCTCCTTCGACTCCCACCTCGCCACGCGCATGACGCAGTCCGTCATGATGCCCTTCTGACGGCGTTCGCGGTGCCATCGCCGGCGTTCGAAGCCAGGCGAAGCCGCGGAATCGTGTGTCGAGAGGATCGAATTGGTGCCGGCAAGAATGGGGACGAAGACCGACAGCAGTCCCTGTCCATGTTGAACAGCACTCGCCGTCGGTGACGCCGCAGACATTGTCAATTTGGCACGACTGTTGCCTGCTCGACAGCTGCCTCTATCATTGTTGGACAACGTTTGATGCTGAGCATCGTTCCCATTCCTTCCGTCCGCATTCCTGCCGTGCCAAGTGTGGCCCGCGGGTTGTGTGCTCTCAATCGCGCCGTGGGAACGGGCCACCAAAGTCAAATAAACATCGAGCTTCCAGAGGTCCGCACGGATTTCTGAGGTCGTCGCGAAATCCCGCCCCACATCCCTTCCCTGTCTCGCGCGGAGCGCGCAGGGGTTGGCGCCATAGGTGCCGCCCAGAAGGGGTGGTGAAGAGGATCCAGCGCCAACCCGGGACATCTGCGCGGACATCCCGAAATGCATGCTTATGGGATTGGTTGGGAAGGAGCGCGTTTTCCGCACGATCCCCAAGACCCTGTAGTTATCTACGCGAGCTGGCGTGCACACTCAGGAGTTGCTCGACGTGGTCCGCACCACCTGTCGCTGAGAGCGCGCACTTCCCCGCCTCAGCACAGCAAATCGGGCCGTGACGAGGCCCGGCTAGTTGCGGAGCGGAGAAAATGTGCAGCCGACGGTCGCGAGGGCGGTGCAAGAATTTGAGCTTGACAGAAGCATGCGTAAACATTGGTAATTACATCAACGGGGTGAGCTTTCGCGTGCCAAGTTTCCACGTCTGGCTCAAGTAAGCTCTCGGGGTATCGAGGGGAGGATCGAGAAAATACGTCAGAGAGAGATAGAGAGAGAGGCAGACAGATAGACAAGCAAACAGACACACAGACAAACAGACAGAAAGACGGATAGGCAAGATAGACAGTTAGACAGACAGACAGAAAGACAGACAGACATGTAGATAGACAGACCGACAAGCAGAGAGTGGGGGGCGGGGGAAAGAGAGAGAGAGAGGGAGAGGGAGCGAGAGAGAGAGAGGAGAGGGAGTGAGAGAGAGAGAGAAAGAGAGATAGAGAGAGAGAGAGAGAGATTTTGACTGAGAAGTGCGGCGTGCGCGGGCGTGGAGAGTGACAGGCAGACTGGCAGATCGACAGACCGACAGGGACAGACCGACAGACCGCGAGGCCAGCCCCGCGGGAGGGCGGGTCGGTGAGGGTGCTGGCGGCGGCGGGGCCCGCAGCGGCGCCCTCGCCCTGGCATCGCTCGGACGTGTGCATTTTTTTCTTTCGGCGAGGACCACCGAGGACCTCTGCCTCCACCTCTCCCCCCTCCCTCGTCGCGTCGGCCCCTGGGGCGTGCCCCAGAGCGCACCCCCAGCAGGACTCCAGAGCGTATAGCCCAGTCGTGGCGACGAGGGTCCTGCCAGAGGCCAAGAAACGCAACACAGCAGTGCCCTGTTTTTTCGTTCGGCGAGGACCACCGAGGAGCATCCTGGCTCATTTGGCGCAAAAGCCACGCACGAAGCCGAAAAAAGCACAGGGAATGGACGTCCGAGCGATGGCCAGTCGTGCCCGGGGCCGGAGGAGGTCAGCGCCAAAAAAGCAGCACCGGCAGGCCTCCCCCGAGGGAGAAAAGAGGGCCCCGGTCTCGGCGACGGTGGCAGTGTTCGGGCTTCCTGTCGGCGGCCGGGAGGCTGTACCCCCGACGCCAACATCTAGGATCGTCATGTGGCGCGGCTGGCGCGGCCGGGGCTCCAAGGGCTCCCAGGAGGGCGCGAAGTTATTCGCGCTTCGCGCTTCGCCGTCCTCCTTCCTCCTCCCCCTCCTCCTCGTCCTCCTCTTCTCCCCCTTGGGGGGCGGCGCGAGAGCGCGAAGTTATTCGCGCTTCGCGCTTCGCGCAGCGCGAAGCGCGAACTTAGGAGCCCTTGGGGCTCGGGGAATGGCATGGACATGAGTCGTCGGAGGTCCACGCGGGTTTTCTCGGACCAGCGCCAGGGCTCCCTGGCGGCGCCTCCAGCGCAGCCCCTGGCGCGCTCCGCGCGCCAGGTAAAGCAGGGCTAGGATCGGGATAAATCGCTCCAGAGCGTTCCAGAGCGCTCTCTCAGAGCGTTCCGGAAGGCTCTGGAGCGGCCGCGGCGCCCACTACATCTTCCAAACCCGCCGATTCTCAGAGATTTCGAGTTGTCCCGATCCGATTTTGTCCCGACCTTCGCGTCGATTTAGATCCAAGAAGTCCACGCGGACCTCCAAAAGCGTGTGCTCCTGCATTGGTTGGTTCATCTGGTGGCGGCCTCGCCGTCCGGCCTCGCGGGGGCCTGCGCGCTCGCACGGGCGACTCCTGCGGGCGCCCTCGAGCGAGCGCACCCGCAGCGTCGGGCCGCGGCACCGCGGGGAGCTCCACCGCGCCCTGGTGCAGCTGCCCGGCCGGAGCCCCCTGCCGACTCGGCCGCGAGGCTGCGGCCAGGTCTCGATCAGACGCAGGAGTGACCTTTCGCCGGAGTGACCGTTGGTGCGGGCACGGATGGGCCCTCGGATGGCTGCAAACGAAGCGGTAGCAGCGGCTTGCGCGCCCAGGTTTGGTCTCCCCGCGGCCCCCAGAAAGCCGCGCACCAAAGGTCACTCTTACCCAGGGTCACTCTTGCGTGTAGTCGAAAGTCGGCGTGAGGCAGAGGCCTGCCCGGAGCAGCAGGCGGCGCGGCGCCGCGGCGGCGCGGCGCCCGTTCGTCGTCTCCGCCTTCGGCACGGGGGGGGGGGGCCGTCGGGCGATCTCCTCGAGGCCTTCGGCCTCCCTGGGGTGAGTCCCGCATCCTGCGAGGCCCCGTGCGTTCTCCCGACGGCGGCCTCCACGCGCATCTGGGGTGCATGTTCAGCGGCGCGTGAAAGGAGAGAGAGGGAGAGAGAGAGAGAGAGAGAGAGAAAAAAAAAAAAAACAAAAAAAGGAGAGAGAGAGAGAGAGGGAGAGAGAGAGAGAGAGACACAGACAGACAGACAGACAGACAGACAGACAGACAGACAGACAGACAGACAGACGACAGACAGACAGACAGACAGGCAGGCAGGCAGGCAGGCAGGCAGGCAGGCAGGCAGCCAGACAGCCAGCCAGCCACATACAGACAGACATAAAGAAAGACAGGCAGACAGACAGACAGGCAGGCACGTCTTTCTCCACAGGGGGAGCGTGCACATCGAGCCCGCGCGCTGTGGGGAGGCACTCCGAAAATTCTCATCAGGCCGCGCCGCAAGGTGCGACAGCATGACCTGCCAGACCAAAACCTACGAACAGCCACGCAGACAAACATACACAGAGAGACAGAGGTACGCAGAGAAGGGCGGACAGGGGGAGAAAGGGAGGCAGGGAGGAAGGAAGCGATAGACGCTGATCTGTATGTGTCTACGTGTGTAAGTATGTAACTGCGGTAGGGGGTTCGTTAAGGAATGTCCCCAGAGGGGCCTCAGACCGTGCAGGAGTTCTTGTCTGACGAGGGCGGCAGTGATACCCGTGACCAGGCATCAATCGATGTTCCACAGGCTT